TTAATCCAGCTCAATTTCAACATCCAAAAGATATTAGAATTTCAAGTAGTTTGTACAGGATTAACAAATATAAACATGAGTTCGAAAATGTATCTAGTATTACTATTCTCTTTCTATTACAGATCATAAATTGTTGTTTAGAGTGTCAAATCTAAACACTTCTCTGGTTCGACTGGATTTACTTAATAAACAACAGATTTTTTTAAGAAATATTCAATTGTTTAAGATGCCGGCTAAAATGAATGACAATGTTTTTCTAGATAGCCCTATTATGAATACATTTTTCCTTATTTTTTTGTTCGTAAGTGATTATAAAAATGATAATATATGTGTATTTTCAAATAGCTCTAGTTGTTATTTGTATCTAGACAAGCGAGGCCTTTTTCATTTCCCAAAGGTAAAAAATCATGTTAAATGTATTAATTCATACACTAAGATATTTATATATACAATAAAGTAAATATTTACATTATTACAATTTTTACCTGAAAACCACTTCTTAGCATGCTATGTAGTTAAAACTTATTCACTGTCTGTAGTTTCTGATATATAGCACCAAAAATTATTGACACTGTTGAAGTTTTGAAACAATTATAGTACATATAGTACATCTTTTGTGCGGAATTAAGCATAAGAATGTCGTTTAAACTTCCCGACTATTGCAGCGGGTTCCAAAAAAAGTGTTTGCTATTAAAAATATAGCGGAGCTCGTGTGTGTGGGTGAAACGAGAAACTACTACATAAATTTTTATGTGGATAACCAAGCAGCCAAGGCAATCAAGTCACACTAAAATGTAAGGAAGCTATAGCCAGACTAGTCTGCAATCGCAGACTTTGTATGTACTGGATTCCTGGTCATAAAGGCATAGAGGGAAATAAGACAGTTGATGCTATTGCTCAAAATGGTGCAAAACTTTCAGAGGAACAAACGTGCGAAATACTCAGACCTCTGAAACAAATACATAAACTTCTGGACGAGCATATGACAAGCAGAGCAACGGAAAGGTGTCGAAACTTAACTACTTGTAGTATAGCTAGGATCATGTGTAGACTTATAAACGAGGAAATGTACACAGAGAATGTTATATCGTTCAGTCGAAGGAACTGTAGAACATTAATTGGTGTATTGACAGATCACTGTCTAACCGCAACACATGTGCGAAAACTGAATCTAATTCACAACGATGCGTGTAGGAAATATAACGAGCCGGATGCAAAGGAAACTCTAGAGCATCTGCTGTGTAATTGCCCGGTTCCCTCGAGAACTCGACAAAAATACTTGGGGGCTGTCAGTTTTACCGGACTGGAGCACATATCTGAGGTTTCTGTTGAAATCCTAATCAAATTCGCAAATAAAACGCGCATCCTAAATGATGCACATAATCGCTTAAATAAGACTCTGATCTGGTATCACAATGGACCTTAATGGTCTACACGTGACCTTTTTGGTCTGCCAGCATAATCTAATCTTACGCCTTTTTTTTAAAGATTATTAAGAACGTCCTTTTCAAATTTATACAATTCCAGCCTGTGCTTCTACTTTACGCTTATTTTAATAAGTTTAGGAAGTATTTTACGAGTATCAACTTTATGCTTCCATTTAGGTACTTCGTTAAAAGTTTTTGTATCTATTTAAATCGGATTATTTGCAGTTGTACGTTGTACTGAATTCACTTCGTTTTTGCTTAAAATACAGAAAAGAATAATAATTGTAAGTTTAAAATATCTTTCAATTAACAAAATAAAATAAAAATAAAATTAATATCTTTATAAATAATTTCACATTGTTATTAACTTTATAAATGGGTTATTTCGATATTTTCATTAAAATAATTTTTTAACTCAACAAATCTTAATTTGATATGGCAAGATTTATTCCAGCTGTCAAAGTATTCACAAATTATTTCTTTAACGAGTGTAAAAATTTGAGAAAATCATTAGAAAGTGATTTTTTTTCTATTTACTAAAATATTTTGAACAATACAGATTAAGAGATTAAATTTAGTATTTTTAAATGCTCAATTATCTTCGTACAACATTTTACACTTTAATTTTATTTACAAAAAAACAAAAAAAAAATTACGGAGTTTATAAAAGCTTCGATAAGTAAGTGTTTTAAATCTATTCTTGAACAGTTTTTTTCTGCTCTATTGTATAGAACATTGTGCTTGTTAAATTACAATTGACCACCTCCTGTGAGCATTGAATCAGCAAAATTGGATGTTTAATTCAGTTTTCGTCTACTTGCGTGAACAGAAATATATCTGTTCATATATATATATTTCATTTAAAACACTTATATTTTCGGTGTATTGATCAGTCAGAATATGCAATTTGCAACCACTTTTCGAATTGGCATAGTCGCTACGACTGCTGTTTCAAAATTAAAGGAAAAAAAGTACTTTAGAAGAATACTCAACAATTTTAAGGCTTCAATGTTTTTATAGATGAGGTATGTAACGCTAATATCTGAAATTAAGTAAGGTGTAAAGATGAAAGATGTAAATGCCAAAACTATTGATGTGTCCTATAAGCAGAAGTATTTGCCATAAATATTGCCATACTATCAACAATAAATTTATACTAAAAAGTCAATCAGTACGTTAAACATCGTGGAAAAATTGTAACAGATGTATTAAAAATATATTATACAGCAAAATTGGAATACAGACAACCAACCTAAATAATGCAAAAAATATTGATACCTTTCTATAAGATTATATAACAACGATTTAGAACACGATATGCTGAATACAATTGATGAAGTTTAGAAAATTCAAATCACTGTCAAAACAATAAGGACCAAATTTTATTTGTGATTTCGATTAAGAATTTACAGAACAATTATAGGGATTACTACAGTTCATTCGTTTTCTATTAAATGAGACGTGACATATAATTAAAGGTACATCTGTAATGGAACAGTTAAAGCTAAAAAACATGATTTTTTATTTAAAATCCACTGTTTTAATTAGATTTTGTCTACTTTTGCTCTTTGCATATTGAGATAGCGTATGTTAATATATATTGCGGTGCAACATTTTGTTCGATCTTACCCTTATGTCAAAGTGTTTTCAAAACACGGGTTGCAATTCATTCTTTCAGCAAGTAAGTGATATTTTTCGTATCTTGTGTTCTATTTTTTTTTCTTCTATCACTAGCCGTTCCAACGTTCGTAATCATTTGATTTCACGGTTAAAGTTGGTCACAGATATGCTTTTAAAGTTATTTTAAAGACGTATTTCCATAAGCAATCATTTAATTTTGAACACTCTTCAATACTTCTCTAATTTTTGCTTCTCTAATTTTGCTATCA